CACCACGTGTTTGCCTTGAGACTTACGGAAAGCGCACTTTCGCATTTGCTGGTCCAACAATTTGGAACGCCCTTCCTGTCGATCTTAGAAACAACCAGACACTGGAGTCCTTTAAAACAGATCTAAAGACACATCTATTTCGCAAATACCTTCTGGGATGATTGTCTACCTTATTTTCCATGTGTTGCTGTGTTGCTCCGGGTTGAAATGGCTAGAAAGACTTTGATATTGTATGCTTGTAATTAATTTTTGTAGTGTTGTGTTGTTTTAAATGTGGTGAATTATAGATATGTTTTTTGTTGACTTTGTACCGCGCTTCGAGCCTTTGGGGATGAAGCGTGTTTTTTAAATGAACTTTATTATTATTATCCTACTTCCTATCTCCGAATATTATGTATCTTAGAAGGTTAATTACTTATCAAACTCCTTTATTGATCCTGAGACGTATCTTTTTCTTCTTGGGTCAAAATATAGGTATCGAAATTCACACCCCCCCCCCAGATATTAATTTTAATATTTAAACTTGTATACTTTCTGAATTGGTTTATTTAATAAGCCTACTATTTCTTTCTAAACTTGTTCAGTTTCTGAATAGGTTCATTGAATAAGCTGACTATTTATATATTCTTCACGGGAAAACTTAATCCTTAAAAGAAAAAGCAGTAAAAATCCTTTTGAGGCTATTGAAAAAAATGTCTATTAAATGATAAAATAATAAAAATATTTTACTTTATCTTCATTAATATGAAAAATGTAACATAAAACATGAAGATGAAAATTTTCTGTCAAAAGAATTATTTTTAGACCAATTTTAAATAATAAGGACTTGGACACCAAAAATTTGATTTAGTTTGTAAATTAAAAATTTAACAAATGCAAACAAATGATGCAAACAGTAAGCGAGTAAAAATGTTATAAAATAGTTTATTTTTTTACTAACTGTGACGTGACACAAAAATCAAATAGTTACAAGGCATTACTAATTTTAGATTACCATATCTCATCTTCCGAGACGCGGTTGCAAAACACAATATAATATTTGGGTTAAATCTTAATTTAATCCATGAAATGTTGGGGTGTGTGATGAGGTGTGGGGGTAGGAAGTCATAATATGGGGGTAGAATGTTTGGCGCTGGGTAGTTGGTTTTTGTGTAAGCTAGATTGTTTTGGTGTCGGAGATGGTGATTGGGAATGGTGGTAGATGGTCGGGTTTAGGGGGTAGGTGGTCCAGTGTTGTTGGTCGGTGTGGTAGTTGGTTTTTGGATGTAGCGGCAATTGACTGAATTTTGGTATATTGTCTTGTGCGTTGGTAGTGTTCAGTTGTGTTGAAATAGAATTTCGGGTGTTATAAATAGGAGGTCGGATGTTGGAGTAGGTTGTGTGGTGCTTTGCAAACTTTAGGCAATAACAATGGTGATCACTTCAGTATTAAAACTATTCCATATTTCTTGTCGTATTTTCAATTGTCCTATCTGCTGAGGAAGGATCTTTAGCGAAACGTTCACATCTTATTGTCATATCTTATTATTAAATCTTCACATACCGCACTCTTATTTATTCAAGATTACAATTAGTATGATAAAATGACAAACATATATGTCTGTGTAATAGTCTGTTATCCAAACAGTGTTCCCGTTATTGATTATTCCAGAAAAAAACAACTTTTTTTTCTTGTATCAATTACTGCCTCATAACAAACGCCCGATGATTTATCAAATATTTAGTCTCTGTCCATTCCACGTCAGTTTAAGATAAATTATTAAGAATGACATTCAAATGAGAAACGCCCAGTCACGATGTTATATGCACGTCAAAAACAAATATACACAGGCCTCAAAACGATGTGTCTAACATAATGACAGGATGACTCCAACAATGTTGATGACATTTTCGCTCAGTATAAAAGTCGCGATTCGAAATGTCGTAAAATAACTTTCTTTTACAATTCCGAAATAAGATTAAATGTCCATTCACATCCTATAAAGAAGGCTGGGAAACATGGACAAATGGTAAGCTCAAGTATCAAAAATGTGTTTATGATAGGCGACAGTATTATCCTCCTGAATTATTGCATGAGAAGCTAATTAGTAATAATTGTTTAATTCAAAAAATCAACTTCAGGAACATAAAACAAGTAAACAAGTTGTTTTGAAACATGAAATCAAGGTATATTTTATTGCCATTACAGTTTTTAAAAAAATATGTTTTATGTTTTTGTACTTAAATTTTTTTAGTGAAAATCGCACATAATTGTATTTTGGTTTCAATCAACATTGTAATTTGATTCAGTATTTTGGTCTGATTCGGTATTTTTGTCTGATTCAGTAGTTTTGTTTCATTCAGTATTTTGGTCTGAATCAGTATTTTGTTTTGATTCAATTTTTGGTCTGATTCAGTATTTTGGTCTGATTCAGTAATTTGGTTTGATTCAGTATTTTTGTCTGATTCAGTATTTTGGTCTGATTCAGAATTTTGGTTTGATTGAGTATTTTGGTTTCATTTAGTATTTTGGTTAGATTCAGTATTTTGGTTTGATTCCGTCTTTTGTCTGATTCAGTATTTTGGTATTATTTAGTATTTTGATTTGTTTGATTCAATATCTTGGTTTGATTCAATATTTTAGGTCGATTCAATATTTTTGTTTGATTAAATACTTGTTACGGTTTTACGGTTTGTGCATTTCAAAAAAAATTATAAAACACGTTAAAGAAAACACAAAACCAGCCGACATTTTATTGAAAGTGATTGACGTCTAAAAAATATATGAGCGTTAGGCGTGGTCATTTTCCCTATTTGACCTTGACCTTATCAGTGTGATTTGTATGCATAACATTTTTGCTGGAAATAACTTGCAAAATGGCTTTTATATATAATTATTTTTTAAATTGATAGTTCTTGCAGTCAAGGTTTTTTACCTCAGATAAAAATCTACAAAACATTTAAAACGTTTTAAAAAACAATAAAATTGACATCAGTGAGATGGGAAAGTAGTCTGCCAGGGACGCCCAGAAATAATAATACTATTGATAACAGACAAGCTAGATATAACCAATAATGGGAACTAATACAGCGGTAAAAAAATAAAAACACTAACAAAAGTTTAGTAAATAAAGGACTTAAACACATACTTAAGTTATCGTTTTATGTAATTTTAAAACAATCTATTAATAACTTTTTAGAGAAAGAACATTGTGTTGTTTTTAAAAAAAATTAAATGCATGTTATTTATGTATTATTTCATTATGTGTCTGCTTGTTGACATTTTGTCAAATGGCTTACGAGAAATACTTTTTCTCGAGTAATTGATTTTGGTTATCAATTGTAATAACACTTTCATTATCGTATTTTAGGGAATGTAGATTCAGACGTATCCAAAATTGTCACAGAGTATGCTCTATAACTAACATGAAACAGTTTCATTATGGGTAAAAACACTAAAGAAAAATTAAAATCTTTTAATATCGCCTGCAAGAGGTTTTACGTACACTGCGTTTTGAATTTTCAGATAATAATATAAGAATTTGAGTAAATTTGCAAAAGAAAATGATAGTGAGATGGACATGTTTGAATTTTGGTCACTTAGCATCATTCTAAACCCTTTTGGAAGGTAGCTCAAATAGATGAAATCGGGAAAACCCTTTATGACTTTTTGGGAAGACCAGCTTAAAACGTAAGTGCCTTGGAGATTTCTTTCCCACCAACAATAACTGAATTCCACTTTCATTTCACGCATCTAGGAAAGAAAGTAATATTTTACCTTTCTTTTTAATTAAAAAATATGGTTAAAATATTTTTTTTTGGATACATTGTTGTATCACATTTTTGAAATCTTTATTTCCAAACAGATGCGACCGGTTTGGCAAGTGGATACAGTTTCAACGCAACTGAAGCACTTGGAGGCACATAAAGATCACTTGATTTCTCTGGTTGATCAGATTGACATTGTAAATATATACGTAACTAAATTATATATTAGCGTGTGTTATTGTGGGTTCATTTTTTTTTTAAATAATTTTTATTGAACAGTAGGCTTACATAATAACTTAAAGTCTTTTTTGGAAATAATTAAAAAATAAAAAATAAATAAAATTTTAAAAAACAACAACATTAATAGTCCTTATTTGAGATTTCGAAGTGTCCCTTTATGAATCATTAATGATACATTAAACATGCATCATAATAAATGAACTAAAATTGCACAAATTAAATTATTATTAGGCCTACTATTTTATAGATTTTGTAGCGTCATGACTTCAGACAAAACATACATATAGCGAATAAAATAAAGAACTAAACAAAAATACATTTAAGGAACAAAAGTGAAAATGAAAATTATAATTATGTCTATATGATTGTGTAACACATATGCTCTGACATCATTATCATTGTAACTTATGGCGTGAGATCTTATTTCTTATGCTGTGGGTTATGTCAGTAGCATGGTTACTTGTTTTAAGATAGTAATTCAGGATGCCGGTTAAGACTTCTTCATTTTCCACTTATTTTCCAGGCACGCAAAGAAGGATACTCAATTCTGATTTAACTTACATTACTTTATTGAATCACATTTGACACTGATAATAATAATAATCCTTGCATGAATGTAATAATTTCACATATATATATTATAGTATTCCACCATTCAGAAAGACACGTCCTCACTCTTCTACAACTCAGCTCAACTGTCTAAAAAACTCAACTCTACTGCTCTCCCTATCTCAGTCAACTCATACTTTTTATTCCCAGCAAAGCGTGGAAAACGACCGCTCTGACAAAACATAATTTACTCTCCATGAAAAGTGGAGCTCACATTTTCTACTCAAAATACAATTCACTCTCTCGTGGAAAAACATGGTCAACACAATTCACTGTTCACTCATGCTACCTCTCTGTTTTCATTGCGAAAACATAGTCTGTTACAGATTGTTTAGATAGTTCGGCTATAAAAGACTATTTATATTCCATGGTTTAGGTTATTCATGACACCAAAGTCTGGATTGATGGCGGAGGAAACAAGACAAGTAGCTTCATAGAGATGTGCTCACTTATTGAATGCACATTCAGGGATGTCTCAACAAAATGTTTAGAATTCTATCGTAATATTACAGCTTTGAAGTCAATTAATATTAAACCACTAAAACATCTTATAACAAGCAAAATACATAAAGATTTCTCTATAAAAGAGTAAATCTATTTGCGTTTCAAATGAAAAATTAAAAATGTCTTAATATTGCTTTCTTTTCCCCCATGTTTTCTTACGTTTTAATACACATTTGAAGAAATTTTAATATTCACAAACAAACTTTTATTTATATTTAATATAAGTTTTAAAAAAACAAAGTACGTATTTTCTTTGCATAAACAAAAAAAAAAACAAAAAAAAATGGCTTCTTAGTCAATCAAAATTTTTTAAAAAAATAAAAAAAGTTTTTCTTGTTTCAAGTAATACAAAAGCTCGTAATATGAGTAAGCGTGATTTTACTTATAAATATGCTGAATTCATGTATATGTATTTACTACTTATTTCTCAAGGAGATCAGCAGTATGATACGGCAGCATCAGAAGATGGCAAAGCATGCGGTCATCAAAATTTAGCAGAAACTGAACCAGAGCAACAACCTTGTTCAAAAATGTCAGGTACAAAGTTTTAACAAGTGCCCCTCAAGTAGTCCTGCTCTCTGGTTGACATCTAACTGCTTTGTGTGAAATAGAGAATTACTTTGTTTTTCTTTTTTTTATTAAGTTGTTGTTGATTTTATTATTATTTAAAATTTTTTTTAATGCAATATATTAACTCCATAGAAATATACCAATTCAAATAAAGTTTTTGTTTCAAAAACTTTCTGACTTTGTGACCAATTTAACGTAAAATAATTACATCATTTAGATTTAATAACGCTCTATTTTTGTAATACATATACAATATATGTTTTAATATATATATATATATATCAATAAATATGTATATATATATGCATATATATAAATA